ATCTTGAGTAAGACACTAAACCCGGCATTGTTGTGTTCCACAACAATGCCGAGTTTGTTTATAGTTGACATTGTTTATGACGTAATTTATTGACGACGACGAAATCACAAATTTTTATAGTAGAAAGAAGACTCGGCATTGTTGTGTTGTACTCAGCATTGTTGTGTTCCACAACAATGCCGAGTAAACAAATATAAGGTGGCATTGTTGATGACGTCATTTTTTGACGACTCGGCATTGTTGTGTTGTACTCAGCATTGTTGTGTTCCACAACAATGCCGAGTAAACAAATATCTGTTGGCATTGTTGATGACGTCATTTTTTGACGACAAATTGGTTGAAGACAACGAGGAATCACAAATTTTTATAGTAATAAGAAGATAAGCCTGAAGGGAAGAGATTACCTGGGAGACCAGGGCATACATGAGAGGATAATTTTTAAATGGATGTTCAAGAAATCACAGCATGATCTGTACTTGGTTTTTTAAGGCTAGGGTCCAGTAGGTAATTTCTTGACCAGCTGAGTGGCTGTGATTTTTTTCAAGCGACAAACCAAATTTATAAAACGAGTTAGAGTGCTGATATGAAGCCTAAAAGATAACTGAATGTGGCTGAAAATAAGTGAGCATACAAGCAAAGTAAGACATTCTAAAAAGGTGTACAGTTTTTGGACAAATGCGTAATAAACTTATAATATAAAGGTGAGACATCTAGAATCCCAGTATTAGAATTAAAGACTACTTTTTGACATTTTTTGTATTTTATTTTTGCATCAGGATTTTTCCTGCGTAGCTATTTTGAAATCATTAATTTTGAACATATACACATGCACATAACCCATAAAATGCATACTGAAACAAGATTGTGTGACACAGAAGACATAATATCAGGGAAAAGCAACACAGAAATGATTAGAAAGTATAATGCAGAGGAAATGCTACTGAGTTGGAAAGAAATGTGGACATTTTATGGTGACTTCCTATTTCATATTTTCTTAATACTCATTCATAATACATTTGCTTAAAAATGAAGATGCTGCTGGTTTCTTTTTAATTTGTTGTTAATGAGAATATTTGAATCTGCAGATTTGTGATGAATTAAATTTTCCAACACTGCGTCGAGTGATAGACTGGAAAGACAATGAAAGGGCGTGGAAGTTTGCATTGCCACAAAATTGTAATGCAGAGTACAAGGTCAGTCATTGTGTGGTGAACCAGAAGTTTTATGTATGATGGTGCCAGCATGTAATGGTTAACTTGAACTCCCTATAAGTGTGGGGTTAATTCCAGTTGTACATAGTATGTAGGCTGCCCAGTAGTTGCGTATGCTGACATGGGTCTGTGTTATGGGTTGTGAAAGAGTACACTTAAGTTTCAAGCATGTGGATGGGAGGAAATGATCAAGTTTGGGTTGTCAGAAGAAATGTCCCTTCAGGCCTGATGTTCAGAGGTGCTAGCAAGTTGTCCTTATTCCAAAGACCTAACCCCATGTACATATATTTTGTTTGCTGAGGAGAAGAAACCACTTTGAAAACAGTCACTGTTTCCACAAATACCTTGAACAAAAATGTCAGTGTAATTGTATCATCAGAGACTAGGTGATCAAGTGCTGTGATTGTGTTGCTGATGGGAGAAGTGTGTAGACCTTGGTGGTGATTAAATTGAATAGGGAAACTGCAGGTATGTTGTGACATATTGCTTCTGTTTATTTGCTGTGTTTATAACTTCTGCTGTTAACATTCAGAAAACCTGTGAAATGCCTCATGTATGTTCATAGTTTTCAGAATTTTAGTTGTGTAATTTTTCAATTTAATAATTAATATTGCATGTCTTTAATCAGCTAAAAGGGGCTGTCAGTACAAGTAAGTGACACTGTTGTTAAATTAGACATTCAGCTGTTTGTTAAGCACTGGGTTCGATATGTGGGATATTTGGTCAAGAAGGTTAATTAGGGTGTAAACTGGATTTGGCTGGTTTAGGATGTGGTCAAATGGCGGGCTTTGGGTTCCATGAAAATTGTGGTATTTTTCGACCAGTTGAGTGACTCATTTTCTCAGTATGAACTTTGTTCTGTAGATTTATTCTTGGTATGTGTGGAACTTGCATTTTTGTTAATGTCTTTTTTTGTTTTAGGGGTCTCTTGGTCTTGGCTTTTTGTATGACTCCAGTTATCAAGTGGAGTTAACTGCAATGAAGGAACTTTGTGTGACAGGACCAGTGGACAGTATTACACCAAAAGTTGAAGCAGTTCTTGCAACATTTCAGGTTAGATTCAGTGGTACATTGTAAAATAAATTCTGAACACAAATATCTTTAGCTATCTTGTTATTTATTCAGTAAATGTAAGAGAAGTGATGAGACAGAATATAAAACTTTTTTGTAAATGCTTTTGAGCACTCTATTTTCAGGATTTTTTTAACTAGTGAAAACTTTTTGTTCTTTTCCACTTTCATTTTTGTGTTAATTGTGTGAAATCTAGAACATTGTCCAAACAGTTATCCAGGGAAGCACTGAATCGTAACTGCATTATTGTTCACTGTGGATTAACCCACAATCATACACAAGAGTATTTATTTTCATATGTTAGCTTCAGCTAGAAATGCCTTATAAAGTCATGCTGGAAAGTGTGAATTGTTGTTGATTTAACCTTATTTCTGTGACATTTGACCTTAGTCAAATGTTAGTGCATTATCTTACAGTGAAAAATTTGACTTCAGTCCACACCAAAGAATAATCTTGTTTGGCTGTGACATTCAACTTTACTTCTGAGCTGTGAAAATGTGTTCTTGTTGGTTTGCATAGCTAGTACAGAAATATGATGTGAAAAAGTTATACTCACATGCTATATGTCTGGCTTGTCATTGAAATTTTTTTATTTTGATCTTGATTTTGGCACCTATGGCAATGATTCTCAATTATAAGCAGTTGTAACATTATAAAGACATATTTTGTTAAAAAAATAATATTAATTGCTTTTGTGTGTTGGTATTTTTTATCTTGTAGGCAATAATCTAACCCTCATAATGAGCTCAGATTTTTAGCTTTACATTCTTACAGGAAAGCAGTGTATGAATAATGTGCAGCAAAAGGTTTGACATTTCTGATGTAAAGATTGGCAACAGCCTTATACAGTATCCTAATGAAAATCTGAGTGCATCAGCTACAGACTTCTCAGAATAACAGAGTCTTAAGGCAACACCATATGGTGACATACAGATGATAAGAAAGGAAAACTGCCATTACCATGTGGTGATACATGGCCTTAAATGTTAATGTTACATAATGATTGATGTGATGCCTTTGTTTTATTTTTTAGGTGGAAGATTTAAGAATATCACTGTTAAATATGTACATACAGAAAAGTGATATTTACAGCCTGGAGAACATACTTCAAGGCCATGTGAAGCAGACAGATATGCTTATAATTCTTGGTGACTTCACTGGACTGTCACAAAACAAAGGTATTCATGTTGTTTATATGATAGAACTATATTATGTTTAATTACTTTTATTGTATTTTCTTAACCATACATACATGTTACTCTGAATTATTCATGATGAAAATTAGTTGACCGATCTCAGAAAACACATCTTGCTAATGTAGTTATGTTTGGCAGGAATTAGTGCTGTGAGTAACTGTTCAGCTTAATGATGCACAACAAAACCTATTGACATTTGGAACAACAGAAATTAAACCTGATATTGAAAGGTTACTCTAGCAAAAGAAGGGTCATGTATTTTAATACTGTGTGATTGGTGAAGAAAATTATTAATTAAAATGTGAACCTCTTTGCAGTGGTAGGCCTAATTAATAACTTTTTTATAAATTGTTATGGCATTTCAGTAAATTGTTCTCATTTATAAACTTGCTGCCTGTGAGCCAATAAGAAAATATGTATGTAGAAAAGGTTAACCACTGGTACAGAAGAAATTAATTTTAATAAAACATTTTTTTCAGGAGAAAATGAGATATCCAGGTTGCAGTATAAAAGTGTCATTCCAATGTCTTCAAATTCCCACAGCTGTAGCAGTGCTGCTCAGGAGTACCATTACTCAGATAACATATTCCTCAACTCAGAAACACAGTTGCAGTTTACAGGTAATACCAATTCTGAATATTAAAGAGAATGGTTATAATATCCTAGCTCATTTAAAATGTCCATAAACCCTAATTTCTAAAGTTAGTCTCTTTTTAGGAGGGGGGCATGTCATATTGAATCATTTATGTAAAGTTTCCGCAATCTGTGTATGCAGATATTTCTGGGCAGTTTTGTTTTAATTTTTAAGCATTGAAGTAAAATTACTGCTGCAAGTACAATATAATTTTGAGTTACTGGTATATATTTATATTTCCTTCTGCTGTTGGCATAGCTTTCTGCCTGTACCATCAGAGAGCAGTTGCATGTAGAATTTAAGTATGATGCTTATGTTTGGTATGTTGCAACAGTTGACACATAAAATGCATTTATTTTATCATTGATCTAACCAAGCTTGTCATTTTGCAGAGCAGTTAAAAATATTCAAGAATTTTCCCTCATCTAATTTTTTGCACCTAGCAACTGGTAGAACTCGCTGTGTTTTCAGAATTTACGTAAGTGTAATCTTTTGATAGGCGTGAGTGGCATGGTTCGACAAGGTTTGAATCACCTTGCTATTCCTCGAGGCTGGATGTGGGGGGGTCCAGCAAGCGAGCACTGTCCAGTGTGGTGTGAACTGTACACAGAACCAGTCCTAGCAGAGAAAGTTCTTCCAAATGGAACACATTATTCAGAGTGATAGTCTGCTATGAAATGATGTTTGTTGGTTCTAGTGCATTGCATCCAGCTTCAAGCTAAGTAAGAATGGACTGATTGTTTGAAATTGTATATTTCAGCAAGAAAATTGACTTTAGGATTCTTCCTTTGAAGCTGTGCAAAACACGTATGTTGTACGTGAAACCTCGTTGTTATTTATGTGATGAAGAAACTTCATGCTGATAGTAGAAAATGAATCAGTAGGAACATTTTGCTGAAGATTTTTCCATGAAGTGTAAATGAAAAAATCATTGGAAATTCTCAGGTTAATAGTAATTGTTCGTTTGTTTTGAAACTTCCAGGAATATATTTTGTCAGATATACCTATTGCTTAAGATTCAAGCAATTACACAGTGTTTTACTGAAAAAAAACTGATGAACTGAATTAAATGGAATAGAATTTTCCAGTCTGAATTCTTTTATCAATTAAATACTGTACTTAATGCACTAGAACAATGAACATTGAAAATATTTAATTTTAAGCTGAAGTGTAAAGTGTTGAATTTATAATTGTATGGGAGGTGATTAGAAATTATGACTTTGCAAACAGTAGGGTAAGATGAAACAAGAGGTTCCACAGAAACTTTGAAACTTCAGCATTTTTTATGTTTACTCATGGAACATATACCCCTATGCAGTTACAGGAAGTGTCACAAAACTAAATTATTACACATATCAATAATGACAGTTTTTGTTATAGGTAGTAGAAAGTTCTGTTAGTTGTAAATTTTATATTATATGTTTTTGGCAGTATATTTGTATAAAATGGGAAACAATCCCATTTCTTTTGATAATGGTTCGTTTCAAGTTTGTTGCATGTTCATGTATATATAAACAAATATAATGAGAATTTTCGTTGTACTTGTAAAGGGAAGTAAGAGTATGATAACAGTAACTAACCGAGAAAAATTAGAGTAGGAAGTGAAACTGGCATTTTGTTTTTATTTTGAGGTTTTCCAATACTGCTACAAGTTAGAGAAGTGTCTGTTTTCATGTTAAATTCTGTTAAACATTGTATTCTCTGTTTTTCAGGTTTACTTATGCATCTTTTGGTTTAATCTAGTAAAGAACATATTTATGTTTTAATTTACTGAACATAGGCATGTAATTATTAAAATTTGGAATAATGTTATATATTTTGAGCATAATTGCAACAAATGTCACTCTCACTAACTGGACAGAGATACTAAAATGAAAATGCATTATCATACCTCAGTTGGTTGCTTGATGTGTATAGATTTCATCTTTGGTCATCCTCTACAGCAGAGTCATCAATCACATATTGTCTGTCTTCTGTGTTATAACTTTAATATTGTTGTGCCAACACAATAGAACAGATTTATAAATACCAATTCATTTTCAGAAAGTGAAAACTACTGAGGTTTAACTACAAATTTGTAAGATGTAAATAAATTTTTAACAATAATTAGTCATTACTGTTTCCAGTTCTTCATTCTCAAGTCGTCCTTCCAGTTGATGATACATGAGTATATAATAAATAAAGTGTTGTTGAAAATGCTAGTAATCTTAGTTGTTACAAGAAAATATCAGTTTCTCTTTCTTTATACTTTTTTTTTACATTTGCTAACAACTTAAAAGTTTAGAAAAATGTTCCTATTAGCTCCAATCAGACAAAAATTTTGGGCACTTTACATAGAGACCTACATATGTTTTTGTGTGTAGAAGTGATTGGGTGGGGGAATCCCTAGCTAGCCACATGGGGGAATGATAATAACTTACTGAGGTTTTTTGCTGGCTGCCTTTTTGTTTAATGCAGTTTGAATACCCACCAAAAGCCCAGCATATGGGTCTCTAGTAAGTTAAAGGTTTCACAGATCTTACACTTGTTATTTTTGTCTGCTGTATCTGTAATTCATATATCAGTTTGTAATGCAGACAGTATGATAACTGTATGAGAGACGGAATGTACAGAATTTATATACAGTTTAAAATATCCTAAAAGTATTTTGTGCCATGACAATAATGTTTATTTGATCCATCACTGTGGTTTTGTTGCAACATACAGTATAAGGCATGTTACTCTATGGTTGTAAAATGTTACAGTGTAGGTAAGAGAGGGGTGAAGATCATTTGCTAACAAGAAATACTGAAGTTTGTTGAATATTGTTACTTTAATTTATATTGTGAGTTGGTTTCTAATTTCTGAGGGTGTTGAGAACAAGGTGCTTAGGAGAATACTTGAACGTATAAGGAAGAAGGGACAGGAGTGTAAAGAATATTGTATAATGAGGAACTCCACAACTTGTACTTTTTGCCAAATGTCATCAGGAAAATGAGATGGGTAGGGCATGTAGAGCATGTGGGAAAGATGAGAAATGCCCACAAAATATTGTTTGGGGAGACTGGAAGGAAGAGGTTACTTGGAGGACCTGGGTATAAATGGGATGTTATCACACTGTTAGGCTGTCAAGAAGGCCTTTGCTGTTTGGAATCATGTAATTTAGTTATGCTTTATCTGTATGTTCACAATTATATTGTATCATTGATCTTTTTGTTAGTAAGTAGTCTTTCCCTGTGTGTAATACACATATGAATACAGTGAAGCATCTTTGTTACTATTTTAATTGTCATTATGACCTGTTACAGGGTCTCCCTGTGCGGGCTGTAATACAGTGCTGATGGTTCATCACTTTTCATGATATTAAGCTTTGAGTATTATCCTGATTTTGATTCAAAATTAATCTTTCAATTTTCTTTTGGATTATGTAAATCACGTCCTTCTGTTTGTGAATATTTATACATAATGTATGATCTTCATTATGCCCATAGGAATCTTTAACACTAATTACTTTCACAATCGTGTTTGTTGGAACATTTACAATGAGAATGGTAATAAATGATACAATAAGCTAAAAACTAAATCAGAAATTTTAAAATGTACAGTAACCTTAGACCTTGCTATGGGCAGAGCTGAAATCACAAATGTATGTATCTTAGAAGATAAAATGTTATATTGATGAAGTTGTTTCACATTGTTTATATTTTTAATACTTTATAATGAATTTTGTTTGGTATTTTGTTATAGTTAAGTATGCACTCTTCAGAATAATTAAATTAAGGACTTTGGGCAATAACCTGCTGTACCACATTTTATATTTTAATGACACATTGGTAAAATACAGAGCAGTTTATTTCTTTTTCAACCTAATTACTGCTTTTTAGTAGAATGAGGTGCATACTGTTAGGCAGTTTCTTTCATAAAACTACAAGATACTGCATTGAGTAAGTGAAGTATCTATCAACACCCAAAAATAATTTTCAGTAAAATCCCTTTCTTTACCTGTTGTCAGCAGTACCTACTATAAATGGTATCCTCCAACATTCAGGCACAATTTGTATTGACATCACAAATTCTGTGATATATTTAAGTTCACCTTCCATTATTTTTAGAATTACAGTCTAAACTTTGATCTGTAAAACCTCCAGAATGTGTTTATTATTTTTGGTCACTGTCTTTACAAGTTTCTCTGGAGATAATCATTAACATTGAGATCCATGAAACATGATGGTCAGTCTTCACGTAGATTTGTTCATCAAAATCAGTCCATACTGCTGACATTGCTTTTTTTGCAATGTGTGTTGGTGCATTGCCCTGGTTCAAATACATGTGACTAATTTTGTTCAAGATGAAAACATTGTTTAGTACAGTATTTTGCCATAGATGAACAAAGTACTAGTGAATGTTCACACCTGACTGGTCACAAAAATAAATGCTGAACAATTTATGGAAATTAACTGTGTTCTTCTTTATAGGATTTGAGATTCTAATGGTGGTGAGTACAAAGATGGCTGTCTTCTGGGTTATAGTGCCTTGAAGTCTGGTAGAAGTTCACCAATGTTTCAGAGGTCCTTGTTGTCTCCATCATCAGAGCACATTATCACAATGAGTAAACTTCTTGCAGATTACATGGTGTGTAACCCAGAAGACAGCTATATTTGTGCACTTCTTATTTTTGGTGGCAGTCTGTGCATGATTCATTACATGCATACTGCTTATTGGCAAAGAAACTGCTTGTGCAAGATGCTCTACTCTGTATTTATAAGAAAATTAATGTCACATTTACAGATAAATAGTCTGTGATATAATTATGAATAAGTTATACATAACTGTTTTATGTAAATTAAATATTGGAAATTTTAATGTGGTATAAGGCATGCTATTTCCCATAGATACCAAAGGTATGTTTCTCTTTAAATTATGTCGAGTTAATTTTAGAATTTTACTCACATTTGTTTATTGTTTTAGTGATATGCATAGTTCCTGGTTTATATATATATATTACTTTTCATGACGTTTCTTTGCTTATTGATTTTTATAACTCTTAAATCACACTTTGCATCACATTGTCTTTAAAGGACAGAACTCATACACACAGTATTTACCTCTAAGAGAATGCATCACCATCACAAATGTATATTAATAATCTTAGGTAAGTTCTTACTTGTTACTCTGAGAACTAAAAGAGACCTAAACACAGGCACTGAATGACACACAGTTATAAATATAAGAACAAGTTGTTTGTGTGTGTGTGTGTGTGTATAGTTAAGTACTAACAAAATTTTGTGTACTTTAAAAAGTGTTCATGACAGACACACACACACACACACACGTACCCCATATATATGAGCACCAGGATCTGAACTTTATGGGTGTCTTGATTTTATATATTTTATTACTTCATTCAATATTATATCACATTCAAATGATGTAAAACAGAAGATATTATACTATATCTGTCACATGTAGCATATTTGCTCATGTAATAGCCATAAGGAATTGTAAAAAACATTGGTTTAACATTTACATGTACTATGTGATTTCTTTCATAAGCTGTTGGAAAGGAAGCATTTTTTGATGTTTTGTGAGGATGTGCCATCTTGTCATTTGTTTCTTTGTAATGCAAAATTTTGATCCTAAAGGTTTTCACTAATGAATGGTTGCATTTCATAATTTTGCATACTTAAGAGCTGGTATAAGTAGTAACTGTAATACAGTGCATTACTAGCTTTTATGTAAGCATTACATTTTTCCAAAATGTTTATTAAAGTGCGGGATAAGCATGGCTAATACAAGAGCTTAATATATTACAGTTGTCTTCCAACACCTCATCTTCATTCAAAGTAGAGTCCATATTTCACGTGTCCAAGGGAACCAGAATTTCAGTTGCACAGTTATAATGCCACATTTGTAATATTTGGATTGTTATTTATATCATTACTTTATGTACATATAGTAAAATCCATTTATCATCTACATATATCATAATATATTTTGTGCACATTTTAAATGATATATTTTTTTCATTCCTGACAAATATAGACCTTTTTAATTATGAAGAATTTTAAAATTGTAAATATTATGAACAGAAAGCTTATTTTACCCAACTCTGTTTTAATATAGAGTGTGAATGGTTTATTTTTATTTCTTCAGGTGATGCTAAAGTTGGTAATGGTGCTTGAGAATTGGAGCACAATGGACAATAAATGTTATGTGTGTATCCAAGGTCCATTCTTCTTAGAATTTTCTGACTCATTCTGAGTTTGCTGTGCCTATATTGTGTATTTATGTTTCAGTTAGGAATGGGATATGGTACAGAGCTAATGCAGGTAGAATGTGAACTTAGTGACACACACACACACACACACGTACCCCATATATATGAGCACCAGGATCTGAACTTTATGGGTGTCTTGATTTTATATATTTTATTACTTCATTCAATATTATATCACATTCAAATGATGTAAAACAGAAGATATTATACTATATCTGTCACATGTAGCATATTTGCTCATGTAATAGCCATAAGGAATTGTAAAAAACATTGGTTTAACATTTACATGTACTATGTGATTTCTTTCATAAGCTGTTGGAAAGGAAGCATTTTTTGATGTTTTGTGAGGATGTGCCATCTTGTCATTTGTTTCTTTGTAATGCAAAATTTTGATCCTAAAGGTTTTCACTAATGAATGGTTGCATTTCATAATTTTGCATACTTAAGAGCTGGTATAAGTAGTAACTGTAATACAGTGCATTACTAGCTTTTATGTAAGCATTACATTTTTCCAAAATGTTTATTAAAGTGCGGGATAAGCATGGCTAATACAAGAGCTTAATATATTACAGTTGTCTTCCAACACCTCATCTTCATTCAAAGTAGAGTCCATATTTCACGTGTCCAAGGGAACCAGAATTTCAGTTGCACAGTTATAATGCCACATTTGTAATATTTGGATTGTTATTTATATCATTACTTTATGTACATATAGTAAAATCCATTTATCATCTACATATATCATAATATATTTTGTGCACATTTTAAATGATATATTTTTTTCATTCCTGACAAATATAGACCTTTTTAATTATGAAGAATTTTAAAATTGTAAATATTATGAACAGAAAGCTTATTTTACCCAACTCTGTTTTAATATAGAGTGTGAATGGTTTATTTTTATTTCTTCAGGTGATGCTAAAGTTGGTAATGGTGCTTGAGAATTGGAGCACAATGGACAATAAATGTTATGTGTGTATCCAAGGTCCATTCTTCTTAGAATTTTCTGACTCATTCTGAGTTTGCTGTGCCTATATTGTGTATTTATGTTTCAGTTAGGAATGGGATATGGTACAGAGCTAATGCAGGTAGAATGTGAACTTAGTGTTCATGGAACATTCCCTGATATTCTTGTGTAAATATTGCTAGATAATCATTAGGTATATGAAAGCAGTACACCTGTAGATGTTTAGAAAACAGCACAAAGTGGGAGAATGAATAACATACAAAAATATTAAAGAATTACACATTATTATACTTAATGGGATGTATTGTTATCTTAAGTATAAAATTAATTTTCCACCAAGTATTTTCAATGGTTGAGTGTGTGAAGAGAAAATATATCTGTTTGATTTTCTAAGATATATTTTAGCTAGAAATGAAATGAAAATTGGCTTTCAGCCAAGAATTTGAAAGGGTTGATTTTTTAAAGAGAAAATGTATGTTTGATTGTCCAAGATATATTTAGCTACAAACAAACATTTTTAAACAAATTAGTTGTTGCTGTATTTCTGTTCAAAGTATATTAGCAGCCATGTATACAATGCAAGATCAATTTGCAAGAATGTACAAAATTTAAAAAAATTAGTAACTATAGTAAACAGTTATAATACCTGAAAACTGTGTATGCATATAATTGCAGCACACCAATTTTTAAAGAAAATAAAAGTTTAGTTTACTGTTTTATACATTATTGAACTGCCTATAACGTAGTATGAAAATAATTAAATTTAATGTTGCGTTCTTGAAGTCTTCATCATAATTTTGACGAAGTTAGAAAAACATTTAATAACTTATCATGGGCTACCACTCTTCCTCTCATTCTAGTGTCCATTTGCCTACTTTTGCATATATACAAATTGATGTTTCATAGTCTGGTTGGCTGAAAATCTAAACTTGTGTCTCTGGTACTGTTTACATAAACATCATGTGTATATATGTTTTGAACCAAGTTTAGTTTTTTAATTCTTTGCTTTTGCCTTAAAAATGGTCCCAGTAACTGACATGCCAGCTGATCTTTCCTGGTGGAACCACTCTGAAGAGGGCATTCTCCAAAGTTTGTTTTCTGCATTCTGCACTCATTTCCATTTCAGTGGTCTTCCATCACATAAAACTAGTTTATTTTTCAAAAGCTGTACTCCGTTGAGAAAGTTTGTCCATATTGCCCACCTGTTTCACATTTTGATGAAACGTCAACTTCACAGTTTTTGCGTTCAAGTCTAATCTATTCAATTTCATTTCCATGATTGATACTGAACACTTACATACTTCAGGACATAATAACAGAATCTTTCAATTCCTTGTTTGATACAGCAGGCAGACCAGTATATTTTATGAGTGAAATTATACTCAGATGATATCATGTGGTGTACGGTTTTCATTTGCCAGTGCAGATTATCAGACTGAGCTGTAAATAGCCTTAGAAGTGAAATTTAAAGTACATTTTACACAAAATATATGTGGAAAAAATGAAGACAAGTTAGGAATCACACATTGTAGTAAATTTGTACAGTTTTTGTTACATATTACAATAAGAAATTGATGGAGACATGTGTTTATCATAATGAAGCTCATTATAGGACATGTTTCATTATGGTTACATTGTACTTATATTTTTCTTTTCTTTTCAACTCTCCATTATTTTATAGCAAACAGAAAATGAGTCTGTTTGTAATAAAAAATAATAAACTTTTTTCAATTCACATTTATGAGATTTGAAAATTCTTTCTGCACTGTTATGCAAATTATCACAAAGGGAAATTTTATACAGTAAGTATGATTATAGAAAAGTAAATATTCTTGTCTGATAGAGAAAGGAAAAGCTAAATCCAGATACTTTGTTTCATTTTATCGCAGGTGTGTGTTCATTCACTTCAATAAACCGTATCATAAAGTACTTTTGAAACAAACATTTTTGTTATAGAAACTTCGGTCTTGATTATTTTCTTACCATTAGTAGGGTGCTGTTGCATAGCAGACTGTGTGACATGAAGCATTGTGAAGCTTGTTACTATCGTTGTACAAAGGAGTGTCTACTGACAGAAAATACAAAAATGTTTGTTTATGAATTATGTCTTGAATGGTAATAAATGTTCCATTTCTAGTGCCAATATTGAGTACTTCTTAATTTGGTAAAAGTAAATATTGGTTAAAATAATATTACCCACTTGACTTCCATACTAATGGCAAGACATAAAGAATAAAAAATAATATATATTCATGTCAGTTACAGTGTGTGATATCCATTGTTAACATAATTGTAGGATGTTGAATATAATGATATGTTTGATTATAAAAATATTTTGCTTTATAGCTTTTATTTATTTTATATTTTTAAACAATTGCTAAATAAAATGTACCATGTAGCTAACTCAGAGCACTCATTCTTGAGAAGCTAATATAATCTTACAGCTAGTCAAGAAATATCCTGCCTTTTATGAGACCCAAAAATTCATTACCATGTTCACAAGAGCCAACTGCTAGTCTCTGTCCTGAGCCACATGAATCCAGCTCACTCATATCCTGTTTCATAGGATACATTTGCTCTGCTTGCTACATGGTATACTCATCTCATCCTCCCTTATTTAATTGCTCACTGTAGGATTTTCTCCATTCTTTTGTTAAAGTTGTGCAAAGTTCTACAAATAAAAGTACATTAAATTGGAATGTTAATGTAATACAAGACATTAGGCATCTTGATGTGTATGTAGCATTTGGTAATTTAGACTGAAATTCCTTCCAACATTGGAATAATCGTAGTGATTTTGTTGTTACTAAATATCTTTTATTTTCATTATTACAAATTCTTTTCCTCTTTCGGTGTTCTTCATCCCCTGGCTTGAATGAAGAGCATCATATTGGCTCATCCATGTCTACCATGATTTTTTCCTAGGTACTAGGCATCCCTCATAGTCCACAGTCATTGGAACATGTTGCAATAATGGGAACAGGTCATTATTTGAAAACATTTTTCATGAATGTATTGGGAACCAAAGCAATTGTGGGGCACATTGTTATAACTGGCCATTGCTAGTTTACAGCACGTATCATCACAATGACCTTAGATACTACTGTTGTATCAGTTATTCCTTTCAAGTTGGCATGATTTAAGCTACTTTGAGCAGTGGTTATTAATTCAGCAACTTGCTCACATCACCACCTGTGATATGGTATGACATTTCCCAAATTTTGGAAGTGTAGCTTCCACCATTAATGTTACTATCAGTATCCTGGTTATCAGAATTCTTATAAGTGTAATCTACAATTTAATTAACATGGAGTCAACTAATTCACCTACTTTGTTCATGCTCATGCCCATTTTTAACCAGTTACATTAATATAATCAATTTTATTCACCGTCTTTACACAAGCTTATATATTGTTAAAATCACATAAAATTATAACATTTCTTCATTTAATATTGTTACATTTTAAAATGACGACATGTTTCGATGTTCATTCCATCATCGTCAGGTCCATCAATTACAATTTAAAATCTGTTGCACCTGCTGCCCTGCGTATACTGATTTGTTCTACCCATTAGATTTTATTTGTTTAACCTTCAGGCTTCTTCCATTAAATTTGGAGGCTGCGTCTAGATGCCTTAAATCTGCAAAATCAATTTTAATTTTCATATCGTGATTCTGGATAATGACATAGGAAATGGAATAATTTTAAAGAATTATTACGCAATATACTGCTAAACAGTTCCTTTAGCTTGGAAGTAGCTTCTCACTGCAGACCCAGGTTAGTCCACGTAGTGTAAGTGGTGAATAAAGTGGCAATTTTGACAGAACGTATTAAATACTCCTTAAAAAGTAATTGTGTTCAAAATGTTCTAGTTTCCTTGACGAGGTTTCTGTTATGCTGTAATCGGTGGTTTTCAGCGACGAACAGTTTTAATAATTCATTCTAAGCATGTTCCAAGGAATGACATGGGATGTATGTGCCGCATGTGTTGAGTGATACATCATCTTTGCAGTCAGCGCATGATTGCAGTTATTTGACAGTAGGTAATTCTTGTTGCAACAAGAACCATTTAGAAGCACACATATCCATTAATTCCTCATCGTCATTGCCACTACTTGAATAAACAGTTTTTACAGGCACGCCTAATC